AAAAGAACAGAAATGCGTTTGGTACAATCAAAAAAAAATTTATTCCCAATTTTTTGCATTCAAATCTATATCTTTTATTTAACTATAAGTACAAGTTATAAGTGAAAAAAAATCAATAAGCATGGTTTATTGGTTTGTCTAATCCTTTTTAGGGGTTTAAAACCCCTTTTAATCCCTAAACTAAGGAATCTTCAAAAATATTACTTGGGCACCTAAAAAAATTTAAATTTCACTCAAAGTAGGTGGCCACAGGTATTCTAAGTCATTTTGTGAATTTTTATTTTATTTTTTTGGGGTAAAATTTATTAAAATTTTTTACTTTCCCTACGTCCGTTTCTTTTTATTTTCCAGAAAATTTTTATGAAATTTTTTAAAATTTTTTCAATTTCGGAATTTTGCGAATTTTTATGGGTTTTTTTAGTTTTTCTAATTTTTATGGATTTTTTTAGAATTTTTCTGATTTTTATGAATTTTTGGAATTTTTTAATTTTCTAATTTTTTTAGGGATTTTTCTGAAATTTTTCTAATTTTTATGAATTTTCGGAATTTTTTAATTATTCTAAGCCATTTTGTGAATTTTTTATTTTTGATTTTTTTTGGGGAAAAGTTTATTAAAATTTTTTACTTTCCCAAAATCTGTCTCTTTTTATTTTTCAGAAACTTTTTTATGAATTTTTTTAATTTTTTCAATTTCAGAATTTTGCAAATTTTTATGGGTTTTCTGAGTTTTCCTGATTTTTATGGATTTTCTGAGAATTTTTTTGATTTTTATGAATTTTTGGAATTTTTTTAAATTTTTTAATGATTTTTTTTATTATTCCCACCGGGAATGGGCCGGACCGGTGCTTTGAGACGGTCTACAGATGACGGAGGATGGAGGAGGAGCTGAGGCCGTGGCTTGAAGACCGGACCTTTCTATTTCTTTTTTTGTTTTTGGGAACAAAGAAGTAGCAAAAATCTACTTCTTATTTCTGTTCCAAATCTATTTCTTGGCCATTTTTCTATTTCAGGAAATAGAAAAATAAAATGTGTTACCAAACAGATTTCTGTTCTTTTTTTGTTCTAGAGAACAGAAGAACAGAAAAATAGAGAAGTAAAAACATTACCAAACGCGCCCTTACTTACTTGCTTTTCTCTTTCTAATATAGCCAAAAGAAGAATTTAGAGTCAAGACTAAGACGATACTAAAGGCCCCGATCGCAATATCCCCGTGACAAGACTTATCCTTTGCCCTTTTCTGGCCAATACTCAGACTTTTTTACTGTTCTTTTTTTATTTTATTTTGGTGACAAGACTCCTCCTTTGCCCTTTTTCCTTTTTTGAATTTTTATACAATCTGTGAAGTTTCTTTTAAAAAATAAACTTAATCAAATCCTTCCAATTTAACAAATTTTCTAATTAAGCCTCGTTAATACTAAATCCAGCCAAATGCAACTAACACAGCTATCGGATGACATTAGAGTGTGACATAGATAAAATCTTTCCAATGGGAATGTCTACAGGGGTGTAATTCCTTTAATGTCATACTCTGACATTGTCCATATTGGCTATGGTGGCGTCCAGTAGGTATACACACTAGCTAAAATGAATTTACATCATGTTTTGGTGCTATCTAGTGGCCACATCGGTTGAATTTGGTGTTTGAGAAGACTTGATTAGAAAAATTTTAAAAGTAAAAGAACTTAATTAAACAAATTAAAAAAAATTGAAAGTACGATTTTCCTTTTTGAAAAAAAATTCATCTTTATCACCATTGATCGGGTACTTATATCCTATACAGTAGACCAATTATCCAAATCAATGGTAATTATAGACGATTTGCCACCTATTTCATCCTTATAGTTATCGAAATTTGATCATTCTTTTCTTTATGTTTTTTTTTCCTTTTTTCAATCATAGAAGTTACTGTTTATTTGAATCCCACTCGGTATAATATGCTTGCCCGCAAGCAAATCCAACCAGAAGTTTATGTTTCCTAATGTTGTCTTATTCGATCTTCATATTCGAGGAATCTCACTTGGTGGAATTTAAGAGAGTTTCCAAATCAAATTTTCCCAAACGGAACCAGTTAAACAAGTTAAGCGGTTTGCTCGGGAAAATTAGTAGCACATTGTTTTTGATGTTTCACGGGTTGGTCAGCTCAACATTTACCTTTTGAAAATCATAGGGTAGACAAAGCCGGCAATGATCGAATGTTGTAATAAATAACCTTAAAATAGTAGGAATTTCTCAATTAACCCCATTAAAATATCGTTATGCATAGGTAAAATCGATACACGCACTGCATGACGATGATTTTACAAAAATAAGGTGATGATTATTTTGCGCCTGAAAGTATATACTTTTTAAAATTTTCATATGAGTTCTTTTCCGTTAACGAGAAAAAATCATTTTGGATAGGTTAAATAGATTGTGATCTAAAAAATATTTGCATGGCAAACATTCAAGAGAATCTATAAGAGTTAGACTTTGCATAAGTTGCATCCAGCATAAAAGACCTTACAATCACACAATTTCATTAACTTGAATCCGAACTGAAAAAAAACACCTATAAGAAAGAAATAAAGGAAGCTCCAATAGTTTTGAAACATGGGTCGGTTTAGACCATAAGAAAAGCTGGTATCATTATGCAACAATGATGCCCCAAATAACCTCTCAAAGCAGACCTTCCCTGACCTTGCATACCTTTATTTACAAAAGAAAAAGAATAAGATTGCGAGATTGTGAAATCTCATCAGATCTCATCTTATTTTATATTAAAAAACACGTTTTCTCTATTCTTTTATGATGAATGAATCACCATCATGGACATATTGGCCCGATCTCCCCAGCTTGTTTTGATGATGCTCTCGGCTTTCATGCGAGTACAGTAATATAATTGTCATCCAACAGTTGAGATTTGTCGACTAATCGATTATTTTGTCGATTGATGTTATTCAATGGCTGATGATCGATCGTAACGAGCATAGTATCATACTATAAAAGTGCTAAATGTGACCAATCACCAGAGTCATTAGTAGTGAAGGAGACCAATGGTACCGAAGGGAGAAAGTATTCAGTGGTTGCGAACCACCATGTCATAGATTGACGTGGCATACGATTTTTTTGGCCAAACTCAATCACAAATTGACACGTGGCAACGACGTGGACATATGAAAAAAATCAAAAAATCTGTCCTGATTTGTTTCTCTCTGTTCCTCTCTTCCTCCGTTCACGGCGAGCTCTTCTTCATCCGCAACCGTGCGTTCCCACACATCGCCGGCAGCTGTGGATCTCCGACGACCTGCCTCTGTTTTATTTATTTATTTATGCCTTTTGAGCATTCAGTCTCTGGCGGCCATGGACCACCGGCGACCTGCCTCTATTGTTTTTCTTTTTGCTTTCTAAGGCCATGGACGACAAAGGCCCGCGGCCATGGACAGCAGCGTCACTGGCCATGGACGAGCCAGTCTCGCAAGCGACGCCGACGCTCGTCCATGGGTGTCGGTTCGGCTAGATCTGGAGCAGCACGCAGATACAGATCTGGAAATTTAGGCGCTCGCGGCCAAGCTTCCGTCGTCGGCGTCATCTAGATCTGAAGTCTTGGTCGCGAACCAAGGCTGATTTACTCTCCACAGACCTGGAAATCGCCGACGCTCGTCTATTGACGCCGACAACGGAGCCTTGGCCACGAGCGAAGGCTGCTTTACTCTTCGCGGATGAAGGCTGCTTCATGGTGTGCGAAGCTTCACTGCAAACCCTGCCCTTACAACGGAAGGTAAACCGCTTCAAATCCATGAGCCCTCAAGAGGTTACAAACAAATTGGGGACCAGCAAAACAGTATCATGCTTTTCAACGAGGACGACGACGAGCTCGAGCGCCCTAGATGGGTCCGGCGGTGGGGGACTGAGCGCACCGTTGCAGATGGAGGAGAGCTCACCGTGAACGGAGGAAGAAAGGGAGAGAGAGAAACAAATCTTGACAGATTTTTTGCTTTCTTCCATTTGTCCACGTCGTTGCCACGTGTCAATCTGTGATTGGATTTCGCCAAAAAATGCATGCCACGTTAGCCTATAACGCGGTGGTCGGCAACCACCGTATACTTTCTCCAACGAACGAAGGGCTTGAATTGTCGCAGGTTTGTCGGATGACTTTGCGGCATCTTGCCGGGCGCTTTTGCTATTAAGATTCCAAGTATCCTTTGGTTTTGCCGTGCAATTTGGTTATTTTCTAGTGGTGCTACGACTTGTCCAACTGAGAAAGAAATTATTACCCCAGCTACCGACACCGACGCGCACTACCACTCAATAAATATGACACCGACGCGCACTATCACTCAATAAATATGACATGTATCCAAGGTCGTTCCAAATTGGTGGGCTCCAGTTACCAAAAACTGACTTTGTCCCGAGTAAGTGGGAGCAAGCGGAGGCCAATTGGTTGAAGATCTCTTACTTATTCCAAAAAAATAATTTCATGGCGGTCCGCCCTCATCACGAGCCAGGAATTTTATTGGATTTTGTAATCATATGGTAGAGCAATCCGGCAACGATGTACTGACCTGAAAATATTCCTCGACGCTGTAAAATGAGCAAGGCGCATGTAATCCGGTGATCAATCTTACTTTATTTTGTTTACGGAAGTTTACGCATGGAACGAGCATATTTTATATTGATCATAAACTACCGACCAATTTCAATAATCTAGCCTTCTAGATGCAGGCCAGAAAAAATATAATCCAATCTTCTAGATAGTGTCGCCATATCTTTTGCTTTTTAACAAACCGGCTAAGCTTAGATGTGATTGCCAAAAGGAACACGTTAAAGTTGGCTTATCCATAGACATAATTGATACATGGACTATACAGGATGACAATCTTGTATATCTAGGCTGATGATATTCCTCATGAAAGATTTGTATGCGAGCTTTTCTGTATGATGTCTTTCTTTGGTGAGAAAGTCTAAGGTAGGTGAAGTGAATGACTCAAACGTCCTTGTAGATGTACAACATCAATGTGCGGAGCAAGGAAATCAAATCACTTGTTGGAAAGAGACAACGGAAGCTCCAATAATTTCGTAACGTGGGTGGATTACATCGCAAGAAAAGTTGGACCCGATTTGCTGCAAGAACCTTGCCTTAAAAAACCTCTACATCAATCACCTTTGACTTTTTTTTTTTTTTGGGGTAAGGCACACCTTTGACTTTTTTATGCCTCTTTATTTCACAAAAACAGAACAAAGAAGACTGAGAGACCGCAATCTCCTCAGTCTCACCTTATTTCACACTAAGAGGCGTATACTCCATTCCTTCTAAATTAATCATGAGCGCTAATTGGCCCGAACTCCGCAGTAGGTCTTGATGAGGCTCTCGGCCTTGATGCGGTTGTCACTAGAGTCGTAGTAGCAGAGGAAATCGATGTGATTGAAGGGCTTGTATTGCTGAGGGTGTGCTTCATCGATGAACTCCTTGGGGGTCTCGATCGTTCCCGAGACGTACGAGAATGTCCCGAGAGAGTATCTCACTTGACTCTCTTCTCTAACCGCCACTCGGTGGTAACAAGCTTTGATCTTTTCATTGCTCCATGCCTGATCAAGAATGAACCACATAAAATTAGAAATGATTTCGATATACTAGCACCAACTAGTGCTTGGAAGATTTTCACGAGCAAATAATTGACTAACCACACATGCATCACCGGCCATGACCATGAAAGTCGACACTGAGGGCTCGAAAGTGAACCACTCGCCATCTTTGGTCCTCACTTCCAAGCCTCTAATGTTGTTCTGGTGCAAGTAGGACAAGAAGCTCTTGTCCGTATGAGCAATCGGGTTCACACTGGCGTCGAGGTCTGCCGGCTTCTTGTACTTCAAGAATCGTAGGAGGTACGTGCAGGATTCGATGTAAGGGTCATAGCATTTCTCGACACCATAACTCTCGCAGACCATCCTGAGCACTACTTTCTCTATCTCAGCTATGAATTTGCCATAGTCATGAACAGTTTTGCTGCAGCCAAAAGGAAAAAAGAGAAGTTAATTTAGAGAAGTCAAACTTAGCACGCCAACTTTTTTAACAAATGTTTTTCTTGATACCCTAAAGCCTGAAATTGAGAAGCTAAAGCCTGTTGGGGAGTCCAACTCTAGTCATATTTTGTAAAGCAAATGTGTTTGTTATGCAAGATCGTTCAATAAAGGAAGAACTTTTGTTAGGTTTACTACCAAGGCCTATAAATGTTGGCATATATACTGAATAACACGGTCATATTAAATGACATGACAACATGAACAATCATTACAATTTATTCCATATACCAAAAGAGTGATGTTGATTAAGAGTAATGTTGCATATGGCAAACGAGCGCTCGCAACCTTTATTATAAGAGTCCGACACCCATATATTGTAAATCAATGTCAGCATAAAGAGCAAGTAACATACAGAGAGGGAGAAAAATTAGTACCAGAAGTGATCATTCCCAGAGGGCCACATGAGAGAGGTGAACTTTTCGCACACTTCAAGCTTCTCAGCGCCATCGATGTTCATGCCCTCGAGGAGAGGAGTCCCGGGGACTTTGGGGATATAGCCATGGGATGGCTTGAGGTTGGTGTTCTTGATCTTGTTTTCATGGGGGAGGTCGAAGAGATCCTCGGTGACGCTAAAGACAGAGTCATGAAGGCCAAGAGGGACATTGGGGTGATCCACGATGAAGCACCCATGATCCTCAAGAGCCTGCACGATCACTTTGCAAGCTTTTTCCCATGAACTTGTCCCCGGTTTCATGCATTCCTCGGAGAACTCTATCACTGGGATCGGGGACGCCAATTTTGTTCCTACCATCTCTCTCAGCTCTCTATCGCTCAGAGCACACGCCAAGAGCAAGACTCTGTTTTTAAGCTGGTCTCTTGATCGGGTGCTCTTTGCTTTATGAATTGACACAGCGTGCTTGTTCTTTTTATAGGCAACCGAGGAAGAAGTTTTTATTGTTTTCTTAGTCCAACCTGAGGGGGCAAAAAGGGAAAAAACTAAAAGAGGCTGCCCACTTGAGAACTCAGCTGTCCGGCGGCAAAATCATTCCGGTGAATCTAGTACATGTACTAAACCGGATTTAAAGCATTACATCTTACGGGATTAGCGTGTAACATATATAGGAGGTCATATCATGCGTATAGGTATCGTCTTTCACACACAATAATTTCGGAGATCACGTCCATTACCGTACTGTTGGCCACAAAAATGGTACTCCCAGAATCACCATAATCAGAAACCGAAACACGTAAATAGAGAAGTTATCGATTCGTGTACCTGATTTGGAATCCATCGAACTTGACGCTGAATTGATGACGGTTTCCAAACACGAACTCAAGTGCATCTCCTCTATACCCTTCGTCGGACATTGGCCTAATGAGATTGCCACTCACGAGAAGAAATTCCTCTCTAGATTCGTATGTGAGTCAGATTGTACATCATCAGGTTAGGGGAGGGACTTGAGCGCTATTTATAGAGTCTTCGACCACGGGCCCTCTCATTACGGGCTGGGCCCTACTCGGCCCACACTAGCCAGCCTCATATTAGACTTATTAAGAACCCACATATCTCACCTTTATTAGACCAAACTAATTCAGTTAATTTCAATTAATGAAGCCCATATTAGGAAATTCTTACATTCTCCCATTTGGGCGATATTAATTGAAACGGAACTGTGTGCGCACCCTTACGTTGGTCTAGAAATCATTCTTAATTGTCAATCCGATCCCATAAGGTCTCGAACATTTAATCATGGCGGTAACTACATGTATTCACGTAGAGCCTTCCATGGTCACAAGTGCTTTCAACTTTACTGATATGGATTCAATATGGTAATGTGGTAAATGAACAATACCTCATAATGAGTGATACTTCATGTGTTGTTCATTTTGTCAGTCCAAATTCTCTCTCCTCAAGTGTCACAAAACCTAGTGTGTCACCAGAGAATATCCTTCATGGTTCCAACGAACCTGCATATGTCTTACCTTTATAGTTAACTGTACCTTATGTGTAACAAGACATATCGTTAAGGTTAATACCAAGAATACCCCATAGCCTGTACTCAAGGTTTACACAATGTCTCGAGATTTTCATCAAATATGTGTACTCAACTTGATAAATCTACATTCACAAATACCTCATTAAATGCAAAAGAGTTGATACATATTCAAATATTACAAAATGTAACAAAATCAGATACAAACTTCATAAGAGCAACATAAAACTAAACAGCTCCCACTAATTAATAGTATCACATGATACTCCTAAGCCCATGTTAATGACTTGTCGATCAAATACACAAGGGCGAAGGCCTTTAGTTAGTGGATATGCAATCATATCATCTGTCGAAATGTTCTCTACCACAATGTCACCATTCTGAACTTTTTCCTTTATAGTCAGGTACTTTATATGCTTAGACCCCTTGAGACCTCTGTTGTTGTTAACAAATATCACTGCAAAGTTATTGTTACAATACAACTGTATGAGCCTTTCCACAAAATCAAATACGGTCAACTCCTTAATGAGGTTCCGGAGCCAAATTGCCTGAGTAGCGGCCGAAAAGCATGCTACAAACTCCGTTTGCATGGTAGATGATGTCATTGATTTCTGTTTCTCACTTTTCCATGATACTGCACCTCCTGCTAAATTAAAGATGTAACCCGTTGTCGACTTCTTTTCATCCTGACAGCCAGCAAAGTCTGAATCCGAATACCCGACCAGCTATAGGTCCTGAACATGTCTGTAAATCAGCATATAGTCTTTTGTCCTCTTTAAGTACCTCAAAACCTTCTTGGCAGCAACCCAATCATCGTGTCCTGGATTTGACTGATATCTGCCTAGAAGTCCTGTTGCAAAAGCAATATCTAGTCTAGTACATACTTGAGCATACATAATACTCCCATGTGCATTAGCATAAGGTACATTCTTCATTTGGGCTTTCTCAAAATCTGAATGAGGACATTATGACAGACTCAACTTATCACCCTTAATAACAGGAGCAATTCTTGGCTTGCATTGCTGCATGTTGAATCTTTCTAAGATACGATCAACATATACCCTCTGAGATAAACCCAATAGTCGGCGAGAACGATTCTTATGAATCTCAATGCCAAGAATCAATTTTTTCTTCTTCTTCTTTTTCTTGGTTTTTAATGTAGCTTCTAATGTCCGGCGCGAGGGCCACTCTCACCGTATCTAGCGAGATTAAAATATTTTAATAAAAAAATGTTATTAATAAAAAAAATATTTTACCGGCCATGAACAAAAAAAAATTATTTTACCAGCCATGGCTGGCGACCAGGCCATGAAAAAAAATATTATTAATAAAAAAATATTTTACCGGCCATGGCAAAAAAAAAGAAAAAAAATATTTTCAATAAAAATATCTTTTATTAAAATATTTTAATAAAAAAATATTATTATTAAAAAAATATTTATAAAAAAATTATTTTACCTGCTTTGGCCCAAAAAAAAGAAAAAATATTTTTAATAAAAAAATTATTAATAAAAATTTTTTTACCGGCCATGGCCAAAAAAATTAAAAAAATTATTTTTAATAAAAGTATTATTAATAAAAAAATATTTTACAGGCCATGGCCAAGAAGGAGGAGAAGAAAAAAAGAAAAAAAAGAAAAAAAGAAAGAAATATTAAAATATTTAAAATATTATTAATAAAAAGAAATTTTATGCCGTTACCAAATGCATTTATGTTCTTTTACTATTTCAGGAATAGAAATTTTGGGCTGTTATCAAATGCCTTCAAATACTCAGAATCAATTCCCGGGCACAGAATAAAAAAGAATCATTTCTGAGCAGAATCAGTTCCCGGGCATAGAATCATTACCATGCGCACCCCTATTCACCAAATAATTATACAAAACAATATTGTTAATTCTCATTAGATGTCCAATTTGACACTTTTTTTTTCCAACGCCTATCAAGACACGGATATTTAAATACTCATGAGACACCCCACCAATTCCATGGCAATATGATTCGTTCATTTTAAATGCTCATCAAATCCTTATATATGTTGGAGTGTGGTTCATATTCCCCATCGATAAGAAAGCACAGGAGTCCCACTCAATGTTTAATTGAGCGATGTAATAGAAAGATGGAAAGAGCTAAATATAGTGGAATTATCTGCTAGACGTAACCCTAGTTTAAGGGTGAATTATGATAAAACTTTGTGTCTCGATTTCTCTTTTTCACTTTTACTTTCTATATCGTTGTGTTTATGCGATTAATCCTAACAATATCAATACATTAACACATCGATGATCAATTTTTATATGCCCAGCATTTCCACATGCATAATGAACAAATACCGTGGAACCCTAGCAGTACCCATTTGGTCGACTCAAAGCTTTCAAAAGTGGCTGCCATGACTGGCGCAAAGATCGATCGAAGCACCCTGAGATTCATTCTCCATTGTGGTGCAAAGTTTTTGATAGAAATGAATTAGATTTATCACTCAATTAGCTTGGCCACCTTTTGTCAAGCAGTTGGGGTCTAATGTCAGTCATGACAACATGTTTCCTTAGTTTTCATGCTCCGTATTCGTGGGATGTCCCCATCAAAACATTTGAAATTCGGCACAACTTTCTACATCGAAAGCACAGTCATGTCGCGTTCGCTCACCTGTTTACCAAAGACTAGTTTAAACCCAAGCCCTAGTCTTTCTAGATGGTCTTGACATATTTCCAATAGATGTTACTGCTAACGCCCCAAGATAATTTTTTTTTTTCATGGATCTTATTAACAAGTATTCCCTTATTAAACACATCAATAAAGAAAATCACCTCATTTCTAATGCGCGGTCTTTTACGTGTTTTGTTTAATGAATGCATTAAAAATGAAAACATTTTTTTATTAAGTATAGTTGACAAGTGTCCTGTGAACACTTGTTAACAGGACCCTTTTTTTGTAATTCGAAACTTACCCTTATGTTCTTAGTTAGTTGAACGACTGACTCTCCTAATTAAAGAGCCCGCCGTTACTTAATCGCATTGCCTATTCTGTATTCAGCCTCTTGACTTGTCTGCCCATCCAAAAAGATGGACCAGAGGTGTCATTCAGAGTTGGTATAATGAATTCGATTGTTATCATTTTCTGGTCCATTTTTCTCGTCCGTTCAAACCAACTTGAAAGACTATGCATTTAAATAAATATACATGGAAAATTTCGTCTATCGTTACGTAATGGGTGGCGTTATTGCATCGAGATCTTTCTCTGACCCCCAGCCAATGGGAAGACAAATTGGAAATTTTCTTCCATTGCTTTAGACAAGGAAAGACAAAGACATTGATGAGACATTAACACATGTACCGTGCCTAAAATCTTATAAGCAAAATCATTGCCAATTTCGAAATTTCAATTACATAAATGCAATTCTTTATTGTGGCCATCAATTGCATAGATGTCCATCCCCCCGACCCTACCCGTACAATTTTTTTTAATAAACCAGCGATAAATTGAAGTAAAGCCAATTTTTTTTTCTTTTGTTTTATCCGATTGGCTCGCATCCACACAACGCATAAATTTCAACTTTTGACCAATGCAGTGGAACCTTCTTTATTTTATTTATCTCTTTTTTTTCAATTCAAAAGAAGATTTTAATTACCTCGTGAATTTGCAGTCACCTTCCTGAAATATCACCCACTGTATCTCGTTTGATTGAACCACTATGACAATCGCAATGAAAATTTGTAAATCGCAATGAAAATTTGTAAATCAGAATTATTTAAATAATGCGTGCCTAATACGCAATTGACAAGAATATGTAAGGTTTTTTTTGTATTGGTTGACCAAGAATATATATGGTTGAGAAGCACTTACACTCTCTCATACACACACCTCCTCAGATTGGGATTTACATTACAACAATACT